GAGGGTCGCGAGTCGCGATCCTTAAATGGCCCGGGCGTCGCGACTCGCGACACCCGGGCCATTTTTATCTGCCAGCAGAGTCGGCGGTGCTCGAGTGGGGAAGGTCGTGGTGTGGCACATTGGCTCATGACAATAAATCCTTGCATGCCTGACTGCCTGAATCACGATATGCATTGCAGCCTGCTCGCAAAATGCTTTTGGGTCGTTAAGTCGTTCGGTCAGCATTGATAAACAAACTTACAAACCAGCAGTAAAGCTTATGTTTGCACGGCGGCGGAGCAGCACCGCTTTATGTAGAGCAACACTACAATCATCGACAGTGTTATTCATGTAAGATAAATTCGTTTCTTCTGCGTTTGCTTGCACAATGTCACAATGAACGTGAAGGAAGCCAGTGTAGGATAGATTTCCTCGTCAGTGAAATCTGTCAATGAACAATACGGCAATGATTGTGACTTAAGTCAGTTAACTACACATTTTTTGCGTAAATGTTGAGCTGTTCATTACTCTTCCGCAGAGGTATAACACGCATTGTAATGGCAAATCTTCATGGACACTGCCACCAATCATGTCAGTCGTGCTTAGATAGGGTGGATCGAAAAGGTCATCCATGTTTGCCTGACAGCATCTGTCCTTTTGCAGAATCGACTTGTGAACACGATTCTATCAAAGTTTTGAGCCTGCGCGCTAGCCGTCTCATCAGCAAGAACAGCGATGGCTGGGGTTGCAGTTCCCGTAAAACCGAGCGCCGTTGGCCGCTGCAGATAGCATCAGGCGGCGAACACTGGGCGCGCGAGAACGACCGTCGTGAAACAGTGCTTCCGAAAGTCTTTCAAATTCATATTCTTTATTATTATCTTTAAACGGTACTCTTTATTAAACGGTGCTCTTTATTTGTTCATATTCTTTATTATTATCTTTAAACGGTACTCAATTCATACCGTTCAAAGATAAGGCTGTATTGTACATGGACATTTATCATTTTGGGTGAAATACTCCCCATGAGTGTATTCGCAACACACCAAGAATGTTCTAGTCTAAGTGGCGTTACGTGGAGCCTTTACCAGGGCGTGTTCGCAGCGCAAGTCGTTTTCTGCTTACATTTTCGTAACTGTCATGAAAATATGCACGGGCAGAGACAATAGGATTCTCGTTTGGAAGTGCCACGTATGCCCCAAATGATGAAAGCAGCAAATTGTGCAGTTTGTAACGTGTAAAACGCCTTTTTATCACGAGTTGTCAGCCTGAGCACGCAAATCGACTTCTCTGCAATTGAATCTGTTGCGCGATTTTTGTCTCACTTTGATGAAATTGCGGAAAAGGATTCTGCGTGTGCGGTAAAGATTCTACGTTAGGTCACGTATAATCTGTGCCGTCCGGGTCGCTGCGACCAATAAAGGGCGTACAATCTGTGGGATATGACGTCATGAGTGCGTCGATAGCATCGATCGACTTTCGCGAGCGCACATATTCAAAACTACATTACATGATTGTTATCACTAACTGATTCTGACTGAAGGTTAAACAATTCCAGCGTAAGTAGTCTGGAGGCCGGCCGCCGTCATCAACACCGACCATCTGGCCACGCCCGTCACGCACGAAACCTGCAGCGCCGCCCAAATCCTTGATCACCACAATTGGCTCAAGTGCCGCCGGTTGGAATTCATTAGTGCCGCCGGTTGGATTGCGGCCGCGAACGCGAGATCGTGGTCTGGAACAGGAGCGAGGCAAGTCAGGCTAAGGCTCTGCAACTCAATTAACCTACCCATAACGATTATTGCTCGACCGAGACTCGGACTCTGCTTTAAAATTGCCCGCTACAGTTGTGAATCATTGCGATAATCACGACTTTCCATAAACAAAAGCTCCTTCGAAAATCCATCGTCAATCCTGATACAGAGCAGCTGGACACCCATTGTGTCATCGTGCAAAACACAATATTATCACGCGCTGTCGGCCCTGAGCACGATAACGTTGCACCAGTCCGAACAGACCCGTAACCTAACCCGTTACAGGTTCACACGGTTTGTGTCTCATCGCAGAACTCAGGACACGGACACACTTGGGAGTGGCACGCTTCGATGGTGGGTGGAGCGGGCAAGATGATGATGATTAGTCACGCGCCCACGTGTTGAACTATGAATTTGGCTATTTTCGACGAGTTTACACGTTTTTGTGATATGGCGGCACCCGCGGCACGAATCGACTCGAGAGTGTCATTCTTCGATAGGTAATGTAACGGGCAATCACGTGGTGCAAGATATGATGTATACAGGGGCAGATCCAAGATCTCCTCAAGGGGGAGGCAGATAATACTGTAGGGCTTCCTTAGTAATACATATATATATATATATATATATATATATATATATATATATATATATATATATATATATACATATATACGCAAACACGCACACACACACACACACACATATATATATATATATAACCCAAAAATCGATGTTTGGCCACCGAAAATAAGATTCTTCGAACATTTTTGATACGGAAATCTATCTGACTGCACATCCCCGGAAAACTAGGCGTGCTACGTATGCACACGCATGGAGCTTGATCATTTTCTCCAGACCATGGTAAATGCTATCATTTTAAGGCTAAGTATATTCGGAAAAGACTCGACAAATTAAGCTGAAGTTGACTGACTGAGTGACTGAGAGAAAAAAAGACTGAGTAAGCCCGATTAGCTTAACAGATGGTCGCCAGAAAAGAGTGCTGGGCCCAAGCGAGAGAAAATTGAAAGGACTCTAGACCAATAAGGAGGGCCCATGAGCATATCGTGAGTGTGCCAATGGGTTAATCGTGACCAGCGTGAAGGGCCCCTGAGCAAACGAGAATACCCCGGCATGTCAACACATGAGGCCCCAGCTCTGGCGTATAGAGCGTTTCGAGCGAATGGAAAGAATCCGTGCAGGGTCCCTGATTGATGAAGAGTGCCTCGGCACGTTAGCAAGAATGGCACCAGCAACAGCGCAGGCCACTCCGAGCAAATGCAAAGAAATCGAGGGCAACGTGGAAGGCTCCTTAACGATCAAGCTGACCACGCAAGTTGGCATACAGGGCCCCGGGAACAACGTAGGGCCTCTGGACAGCGTAAGCAGTCTGGAGATCTCTGTCATCATCTTCTCAATCAGCAAATCATAATTTTTGTCTACTCACGGGCTCTTCACTTTCGCTTGCGACTGTCATTGATCGCCTGGAGGCCCAAAGACGTCCAATATTGTTGCCTTGTGTAAAAAAATGCATCTGCTCGGCCGGCTATGAGCCGCTCGGAGCCTAAGGGCCCCTGCGGGACTCACGGGGACCGTAACGCCGTCCCTGCTCTGGATTCGCCCCTAGTCGCACATGTCACAATCCACGTGCACACTAGCTGCGAAGATCCATTTTGCTGATGTCGTCGGTTTTTACGTTTTTCGCCACATTTCCTTATTCAGAACATACAGCCACACTTGACTCGCATACCGCGATAATGCATCAAATGGCCAGTGGTGTTCCGTGTGCGTACGCGCGGGTTACGTATCACACTCACACGCAGCAGACTGAATTTCGCATTTTTGACAGGATGAAAGTTTTGTGACAAATCGCAGTACGCAGGACGCGAAGCCGCTGGGGAGTCGCAAGCGTTGATAGGGAATCGAACAATGACGTTGCATGAATTGTCATCACGCACGTGCTGCGAACCATGCGTGCACGAGCCCATCAGATGGATTTGGCTGCTACCGGCCGTTTTTCACATTTTCGCCACATCTCGGCAACCAGGGCAGCTAGAGACGTGAATCCACCTAGAAAACATGGCTAAGCTCAGTATGTTTTCTTACATTTAGTGCAGCGAAGCAAACGTGCAAACGCCTGTTGCGCGCCTTCTTCGATCGAACTTTCAAGAGCGTGTGATTGTCTTACGGCGTGTTTTTCTAGAGGATTTTCTTCCACCAACAAGTCTGGAGATGTGGAGAGATTTGCTATACTTCTGGAGAAATTCGAGTAAGTACTTACCTCCGGCCTCCAAACTCGCAACCTTCATTGGGTGATTTCTGTTCACCTGGGCAATCTAGCTGATCGTCACACACCCAGGGGCACGCACAAGCAGATAAGCCACCTTACATGGAAACACTGTATTTGACAGATTACACAGCACATTAACATACTGCAGAGACAAATGTGGCATCCGTAAATTAGGACTTCCGCCATCCATGACAGTTCAACATGACATCGATGTCATGGTGTACAGAAATATTCAGCATCGATACTCAAGGGCCAGGCGCATTTGTCCGAGCCACGGAGCAGGGGCATGAGATGGGCGCAGTGCGACACAGCGGTCCACGGACAAAGCTACTTTTGCGCGGACATGGAGCCGCATAACGCATTATAAATGCCCTAGCGCATAACATTGGAGAGAAAATGGTCGTGACGGGACGAAAAGACACTCAGCTTTGTCTATCTGGTTGCGCAAAAGACCGACCAGGCCTGACATAAGAACAAACCAAAAACATGGCTTGGTATGAGTACAAATATATGTTAAGTACAAATATGGCATAAGTAAGTATAATATTCACATAGGCAAGTCTAAAACCCCCCGTTTCTTTACAATCTCGATATCGAGGCAGTGCACAGCAAAAACGCCGACTCCGCTAAAACAGCGGGAGTACGTGTCTCAGTGCCGAACAGAGATCATACCACGCCGCACCCCGATAAGGCACACATCAGCCAGCGCACAAGCAAAGGCACGCAGCGTCGGGTCCTCATAGGCGCGAGGCTGGGGCCGCCGCCCCGGCGCACCACACAGCGAATATGACACAGAGGTACGTGGAATAGTGGACGAATACACACATACCACCCTCCCAGCATGCCCGCAGGCGTTCCCAGCGCAGAGGTGCGCCCTCACCCCATGGCGCGGCTGGCCGCTATCGGTGAGACGCAGCAGCAGACCTGCCGGCCTATTCCCGTCCGACGCAGCACCGTCACCAGCCGGCTCTGTCTGTCGCAGCTGGAGGAAGAGCGGCCTCCCCGGCGGGAGAGCGGCCTCCCCGGCAGGAGAGCGGCCTCCCCGGCAGGAGAGCGCCTCCCCGGTGAGAGCGGCCTCCCCGGTGAGAGCGGCCTCCCCGACGGGAGAGCGGCTTCACCGGCGGGAGAGCAGCCTCCCCGGTGAGAGCGGCCTCCCCGGCGAGGGAGCGGCCTGGCCTGCCTGGCGGGAAAGCGGCCTCCCCGGCGGGAGAGCGACCTCCATGAAGGAGGGCCTCCCCGACGAGATATCGGGCACCCCGGCGGCGGCGGCGGCGGCACTAGCACGGGCTGAAGTAGCGCGCGCCGGTGGCCAGCGCGTCGCCCACTTGGCGCACCTCCTGTGGCCCCATGAGCCGGGTGCAGGTCAGCCGGATGGCCGGCACCGGCAGCCGGTACTCCTCCTGCTCCAGGTAGCGGGCCAGCGTCAGCGCCACGCCTTGCTCCCGGCACTGCAACGCGGCCACACACGTCTGCTCACCAGGGTGTCAAAACGCAAGGCTTTGAACGGGAAATGTCACTTTTAACAGACAACCTTGGGTTCTCAATTTTATAGCTTTTTCATGGCGTTAATTTCTCACAAGAATCGACTGAATTTCCTCCTAATTTCGATGTCCTTGGGAGCTTTGTGTGAAGACAGCTGGGTCTTCACAGCATCTTTGACTCTGGGGATTTCGACACAGTACAGCTCACGACACAAAAACGGATAGGGATGGGAGCTGCCGCCATGGCTTCACCGTGCTGCCGGGTCCTAGCCATGACACCGGAACGGTGGCGGGCACAGGTTGGAACGCGTCACACAAGCGCTCATATGCAGAGAGAAGCAAAAATGAAGCAGAAGGGGAAACTGCACATGGGTGCGAACGCGCACGAGAAGGTACACTTAACTTTAGCCTGTCTGGACTGTTGTTGGAAACAGACAAAACACCAAAAAGACGGCACACGCCAAGAAAGGCTGGCATGTACGGCTCCGATAACAGGGCACCAACAAAGGAGACGTACTGGTGGCGCGGCGTCGGGCACACCTACCCAACACGCCGATACAAAGCGCGTACAAGGTACAGTGAAGGCCAAACACACCGCTGGGCACGCCGCGGACAATCCGGCGAGCGACTATCTCACTCCCCTGACGCTGAAACACGTGCCGTTTGTAATCCTGCTCTCACGACACCGAAGGACAGCGAACAAAGTCGAACACTCCCTGCGACAACCAAACGCCACATCTGCATCACAAACTCGCGTGTGAGAAAAGCCAGATTTACGTCGAAAAAGCTTCTCCAGGATCTCACGTGAAATAACAGCTGCGATTACAGACCACCTACAGAGGGTGCGCCCAACGGGGAGCCCGCTGGCGGCGAGCTCAGGGACAGCGGTCCGCTGCACGGAACCACACATCAGGACCACAGCCCTGGCCCACCACTGACCGAGCCGCAGCCCCGTACCTGATCCACTACTGACCGGGCCGCAGCTCCGTACCCGATCCACTTCTGATCAGGCCGCAGCCCCGTACCTGGTCTGATACTGACCGGGCCGCAGCCCCGTACCTGATCCACTACTGACCGGGCCGCAGCTCCGTACCTGATCCACTACTGACCGGGCCGCATCCCCGTACCTGATCCACTACTGACCGGGCCGCAGCTCCGTACACGATCCTCTACTGACCGGGCCGCAGCTCCGTACCTGGTCCACTAATGACCGGGCCGCAGCCCCGTACCTGATCCACTACTGACCGGGCCGCAGCCCCGTACCTGGTCCACTACTGACCGGGCCGCAGCGCCGTACCTGATCCACTACTGACCGGGCCGCAGCCCCGTACCTGGTCCACTACTGACCGGGCCGCAGCCCCGTGCCTAATCCACTACTGACCGGACCGCAGCCCCGTACCTGATCCACTACTGACCGGGCCGCAGCCGCGTACCTGATCCACTACTGACCGGGCCGCAGCCCCGTACCTGGTCCACTACTGACCGGGCCACAGTCCCGTACCTGATCCACTACTGACCAGGCCGCAGCCCCGTACCTGATCCACAATGCACTGCAGGGTCCTCTCGCTATCGCGCCTGTCTAAGTCCGAGCCGGGCAGCTGCAGGAACTTAACCGGCGACAGCTCGTCACCCACCAGATGGAGCCTGCCGGGCGCACGCACACACACGCAAGTCAGACGGGCCGACGGTGCGGGGCGAGGGGGGGGGGGGGGCATCATTAGGAAGCACTGGAATGCCGCTGACAGGCGACATCGACCGGAACTTGTATATCAAAATGCCCTAATTGCTCAGCACCATCTCACCCACCATCATCGCAATGGCAATTCAAAATTGCCGCTGTCGTCCTGCCCAAGTATTCAATACATTTTACGTAAAGCTAGGAAAGTGCTTACCACCAGAATGACACAGCCTGTGTAACTATGCACGCAAACCCTTGGCCAACTTGTGCTATCTTGACCAAACCTGCACCACTGGAGGACAAGCGCGGCAACAAAGCCCATCTCCGAGCAGGCACGCTCCGCTCATCCGCACCAGATGGACATCGCGCACGCAATGCCAGCGACGTGAGTGATAACGACGCGGGCGGAGAGGATGAAGGAGGGGAGGGAATGGGGAGGGGAGACGTACCCGTCTATGCCGGCCAGCGCCTTATGCATGGCCCGGCAGACGTCGCGCAGCTGATCAGTCATCTCTGGCTCGGCGTCCAGCAGGTCGATGACGCACATGGCGGCGGCGGCGCAGAGTGGCGCCAGCGCCGCCGAAAACACGTACCCTGCGGCGGCGCGCCGGGTCAGGTCAGTGGAGGGGGGCGGGGGAGGAGTGGCGCCAGCGCCACCGAGAACACATACCCCGCGGCAGTGCGCCGGGTCAGGTCAGTGGAGGGGGCGGGGAGACGGGTGCAGAGTGGCGCCAGCGCCGCCGAGAACACATCCCCGCGGCAGTGCGCCGGGTCATGTCAGCTCGGCGGCCAGTACGCAGCGCAGGGCAGCGCGGCTAGGGCGGCTCCGCATGTCACCGCTACCGACTCTGTCCACGGGCATTGTGAAGCGCCAGCCCTCAGATCCAGTCCCACGTGCCGCCGCTGACCGCATCCCGTCTGCCCCGGCCTACTGCCCACCAAGCGTCCACTAACAAGTCCAGCCCAGACCAGTCCAACGACCCTGAGCAGTCTGCTTCTGCTCACTCTGCTAACCATGCCCCTGCGCGCCATCTGGCCACCGTGTGTACGCTGATGCTGGCCGTCGCCTACACACAGTCGCGTCGTCACCGTCGCCTTCCCACCGCCGCGTCGTCACCGTCGCCTACTCTCCCTCGCGTAGTCACCGTCGCCTACCCAGCGTCGTGAAGTCACCGTCGCCTACCCACCGTCGCGCCGTCACCGTCGCCTACTCTCCGTCGCGTCGTCACCGTTGCATAGTCACCGTCGCATAGTCACCGTCGCCTACCCATCGTCGTGAAGTCACCGTCGCCCTCCCACCGTCGCGTCGTCACCGTCGCCTAGCTACCGTTGCGTCGTCACCGACCCTGTCAACTAGGCGGCCCCGGACCCCTCACGGCGAGCGTGTGTCGATCGCCGCTGTGCAGCGCGTGTCGACTGACCCTGTCCGCTGAGGCGCTGGTGGTCGGCCACGTAGAACGAGCCGGTGGTGAAGCCGCCCACAGAGCCGAGCGCCGCTTCCATGCTGACCATGATCAGGTCCGCTTCCCGCGCCTGCAGACAGCACACACACGCGCACTTGGGTCACGCACGGTCACGCACGGTCACACTCGGGTCATCTACGAGTCACACCCGGTCACACTCGGGTCACATAGCGTCACGCATGGATCGGATCGGTCACGCACAGGTCAATCACGGGCCAAGCAGATGTTACACGGGTCGAGCACAGGTCGAGCATGGGTCGAGGGAGCATGGTGAGGGCGTGTCACATACTGTGCCTGCGCGGGTTTGACAGCGATACAGGTCACACTCACAGGAGGCACGCACGCCCGACAGAGCCCGACGGCCGATGGCAGGCTGGTCCAGCGCCGGTCATGAACACCGTACTGACAGACGACAGGCAGGCCACACACTGCACGGGCCACAGATAAACACATATCCCACAAAGTCCGACAAACATGCATCTCCCCTCCCTCACGTACACCGACCGGACCACGGGCGCGCCAGGGGGAGGGTGGGGGGAGGTGAACAGCGTCACAGCAACTCAGGAGTGACGGAAAAGGCATGGAATGAAACCACCTCGTGATATATCAGGCTTGACGACACCACAGATAATACTGAATGTAAAAGGCAGATCAGAAGCGCGCACGGCACGTCGACTCCAGTGTAAGAGTCATTGAGACATTTAATCGGGGATATGGGCATTTCCTACGATATTTCGGGTACTTCATTTTCGCATCGATAGCTTATCATTCACACAGGGTGGGGGGCAGTGGCACAAGCTGTCAATCAGCGTCCCAAGCAGCAAACCAAACACAGGGGATCAGAGATCAACGGCAGGGCCAACCAACCAATGGCGGACATGCATTCGCCACTCAAAAGGTTTATTGGAGAGCAGCGCCGGCAAACAGAGGACTTTACGCCAGAGGCCACTCCAGCTGCCATCTCGGCTCAGGGCCAGATGTGCCGACAAAACAGGGAACAATAGGACACAGGCCACTCCAGCTGCCGTCTCGGATCAGAGCCAGATGTGCCGGCCAAACAGGGAACTATTGGCCACAACCAACCCAGTTGCCGCCTCGACTCGGGGCCAGATGTGCGGCCAAACAAGGAACAATAGGACACAGGCCACTCCAGCTGCCGTCTCGGCTCGGGGCCAGATGTGCTGGCCAAACAACGAACTATAGGACACAGGTCACTCCAGCTGCCGTCTCGGCTCGGGGCCAGATGTGCCGGGCAAACAAGGAACTGTTGGCCATAACCACCCCAGCTGCTGTCTCGGATCGGGGCCAGATGTGCCGGCCAAACAGGGAACTATAGGACACAGGCCACTCCAGCTGCCGTCTCGGCGCCGCCGCCACACTGACCGTGACCCCGAAGTGTTCGGTGACGCCGCGGCCCGTGCCGCCCAGCACGCCGAGCGAAAGCGACTCGTCGATGAACAGACGCAGCTTGTGCTCGGCCTTGAGCCGCAGCAGCTCCGGCAGACGACACACGGCGCCCGTGTTGGCGTACACGCCCTCCACCACCAGGAACTTGCGCACCTCGGCCGCCGCCTTCGGCTTCTGTCGGCACAACGACACAGGGTCTGAGTGGAGCGTCAGCGGTGGAGGGTCAGTGGTGGGGGGTAAATGGTGAAAGGACAGTGGTGGAGGGTCAGCGGTGGAAGATCGGTGGTGGAAGGTCAGTGGTGTAGGATGACTAGCTGATGGTCAGTGGTGGAGGGTCAGTGATGGAGCGCCAGTGGTCGGGGGTCAGTGGTGCAGGGTCAGTGATGGGGGGTCGGTGGTGGATGGTCTGTAGTAAAGGGCCAGTGATGGAGGGTCAGTGGTAGAGGGTGAAAACAGCAATTGAATTTGGTCACTTATTCCATTTTGCGTACGTTACTAAGTCATTAGATTTGTCCATTTAATCCATTATCTGCATATTACTATCATTCGCATGACATAACACATTTCTGATGGGAGTCACCAGCGTCGCTCATCCGTGACTGCGACGGCTGGTGCTGGCGGCCGGGGCCCCTCACCAGCCAGTCGGCCTGGGCCTGCCGCTGCAGCAGCTCCTCCAGGTGCTCCATGTCGTTGTGTCGAAAGTACCGCACGTCACTGCGAGACGCCTGCAGGCCCTTCTGGATGGCGAAGCAGACAGCCTCGTCCCTGCACACACCGGCCGTACGCCGTCAGCACCGGCCGGTGTACCATGACGTCACCCGTCACACGTCGTAACGCTGTCACGGCGGACCTCTGACCTCTGACACGCATGGTAACTCGCTAAACCCTCAGATTGAGCAACTTGTGATGATACTGATGTCCATGTCAAAACTGTCAAATCTAAATTATATAAGCTACATAAGTAATAAAAGGACATCCAACAAAGTGTCAAAAACACCTGTGCTGTCTGTGCTGATGACGCTCGTGCGCGGCCGGCACGACCCTTATGAGCGGCTGCCGGTATGCCGGCCGCACGACTTACGCGAAGATAATGTCGGCCCGCTTGGCGTACGCGGGGATGGCACTGGCCACGGTGGAAAAGCCCAGCGAGTACAGCACAGACTCCTCGGTGCCCATGAACTCCGAGATGCGCTTCTCCAGGTCCAGGTGCACGTCTGGAGAGCGGCCCGGGCGGAGCTTAGGCAGGTCAGCCGACACCGAGGTCACGGGCCGGGCACGCAGCCACCAGACGGGGACACACCGCGGCCAGAGATACTGCTGTTTGGTGTTGGGCAGCAGCTCAGCCGGCGTGGGAGCGGAGCCTGGTCTGACCATGCCGGGACCTGGCCGATCCCATGCCGGTGTGCGAGCGAGGCCTGGTCCGACCATGCCGGGGCCTGGCCGATCCCATGCCGGTGTGCGAGCGAGGCCTGGTCCGACCATGTCGGGATCTGGCCGATCCCATGCGAGGGCTCAAATCTGAGATAAATACAGCGAGCGCGCGAGTCTCGGTCGACGGTTACACCCAAACACTGCTGATGGTCACCAGTGATCAGGCGTCTGCACCGGTACCCAGCAACCGGTGCCCGAGCCGGCAGCAGGTTTCACAATATATTGCCCCTCTCTTTATAGTGCACAAAGCACGCACCAGCCGCCTACGACAGAGGATACTGGAGGATATGGGCGCACAGCTCACAAAGGGAATAACTGACGCGATTGTCACCGACCGGCGAGAACATACCCCGAAACGCAATAGCAGTACAGACCACCGAGCTCTCAACACAGCCGTCTGCCCCGCCCGCGTCCGCCAGTACCGGCTCAGTGTTCAACCAGCGGCGTCACAAACTGGCTGCGGTGCTCACGGCGCCACAGTGTGGTGAGGATCGGGCCGCTGCACCCACCCGAGCGCAGCGGCTCGGACAGCGGCCCAGACGCGTCCGTGGTCCCACAGCCCAGAGACGGCGCGGCCCCGCCCGCCCCGAGCCCGGCAGCACCGCTCACCTATGGTGCCGAAGAAGGCGCGCGGGCCGCACGAGCCGACGCCGTACTTGCGCAGGCAGGTGACGGCCGCCTCCTCCACCCGCTCGTCACCCACCATGCCCAGGAAGTTGTGCGTGGCCGCGTTCAGGTACTGGCGGCCGCCGATCGTCACGTACTTGCCCACCTGCGGCCGCCGGGCGGAGGGTCACCATGGCGCACCGGGTCACTGGTCACCGTTACGGGCGACGCAACACACTAGCTCCTGCCCGTAGAGGCGCAATACTGTTGGAGATCACAGCAGAGCCCGCCAGCTTGACCACGATAATTCAACCGGCGTACGGTTGTCAAATGCTTGTTTCGAATACGATACAAATCAATGTGAATACAGATGCTCGTGATGCTTATTCTACACAACATATGATACAAACGAAGCCATCTGAAATACAAACGCCACAAGTACACATTAAAAACAAACCAAGCATCTCAAACATCTGGTACATCAGGTACACCAGGATAATAAACCAACACAAATGCATCTGAAATACAAACGATTCAGGCGCATGACATATAAACGACGCAAGTATATCTGAAATACAAACCACCCAACGGCATTGCAGGGCACATGATGATAGGATGGTGGTCATGGAGACACATGTGATGGCGCGAGGTCAAGCTCAACCATCGCCATATGTTTACATTCCCCAGGCATCAAACACATCCATATTCAGCACGATGCACAACATTTTGTGTCAAGACGGTACGACACGGAATTCGTAGTGCTCTCGTGTTCAAGATCAATGTGGATGGTGAGCACAGCACGCCAGTCACGCTGGGAACATGACCAGCCGTCTGCAGGAGATCCTATACATGAGAGCCGAGAGCCCACATAGGGCCCACACACCAGCGGACGTTTGAACAGGGTGGGCCGCCTCGATTCCTCGATCGCCCCTCGCCAGCGCCCGTCGCGCTGGAGAAGCCAGTACCTTTCCCTGGATCACGTCGTACTTGATGGGCTCCTGATCGGCATCGTCAGGCACCAGCGGCTCAGGAGTCCACTCCTGAATCAACTCCTCCCTCTCCTGCACACAGACGGGGCGCGTGAGCAGGGTGGTGACGGTCCTGAGCTCACTGGGGCGTGTGAAGCGGCAGAAACATTACAGGGCCATAACCGCCGGCGCAGCACCGGTGTCACGACCCTAGCGGCAGGCACGGGACGAACGACAACGAAGGGCACGCACAAAAAGCCTCACAAACAGTTAGCCACAGGTGAGGCAGACAGTCGACGGTGCCGGGGCATTCCGCGTGAGATTTCACTGCGGCTGGTTACAGACGGACGCCGTACGCCCTTTCCGACCCCACGTGGCCGGCTTGGACGACCAAGCGAGGAGGCGACCCCGTCCGGACTCGAAACGAGAGGCACGGTAACACGCGAGCGACAACAACAAACTTCGGCGCCACTGGAACACCCAAGCGGTGCATATGCTCGGATGGAACCAAATCCAAGTGGTCGGCAACACGAAGCCAGGTGGATCTGAGGTGCATATGGTTGGCAAAGATATGTACACTAATAACGACTAGCGCAACAAACTGGAGCCTAGCCCATGGGTTGAATCTTGAAGCGAATGTTTCTTCTGAGCGGGTGTGCACCAATGGAACTACTACTACGACTAAACAAGGGGCGCTGAAAACAGCTGCGCTCTTTTGTTTGTTACAAAGCGCCAAATATAACGACATGAGGCTGCAGATTGTTTCTCACGGTCAATTTACGTGAATAAATTGACCATGTCAATTTGCCGATTAAATTCATTGTTAAATGTGTGAGTAAATTGACCGTGAGTAAATTAAGTAAATATACGTGATAGGTTTAAACAGATTTAATTAAATTTAGTAAAGTAAACTTACGGTTGTAGATAACTGACACAGCAGATCAAACAACTTGCTTCAAACTTCAGCAGACACCCCGCTTTTTCAAAGTACATCCCAGACCACCAGCTCCCTTCTCTTAGTCCTCACCCGATCCCCCATTCATCAGGCGTCAATTTCTGGTGACGGCCCTGCTCTTGATGCTTAACTATGTTTCATGAAGCATTGTGCTGGTGAAACCCATTAAGAATGTCATTATGTCCCCACCTCATCTTTGAGTCTTGACTATTTTGACTTAGAAGCCAGTTGCTATGAAAGAAAAAAACAGAGCAGAGGAGCTCCTTTACAATCACCATTGAGCTGTCACGTCGACAGTTGTCAGCAGTCACGTGCTCAGTAATCTAAACATACCCGAAATATGACCACCAGTACGTAACATTAAACAGGATCGACCTCACAAACCCCACGATAGTTTTTTCTGATGTTCTTAACAGTTTGAGTGTTCCAACATCCCGCTCTTTTAGCCTCCCTCAACAGTTTTTTTCGTGCACCATTTCTGGCCTCTTCACCTACAGTATAGAGAGGGGATTTCCAGCGCGACATGTGGAACTCTCGGCAGTTGAGTTTCCCACTTCACCTCACGAGTGCGTGCGCATGCCGCCATTGCTCCGCCGCGGTCTTGACCGAAGTGCGACATTCAGCGCGGCACTCATGCATGTTGTGGCGAACGTGCAGGCCCACGGACAGACAGACTGGCAAGTCGGGTGACATCGACCGGCTGACAACACGGCGCCGACGGGACAGACGCCTGCACAGAGCGGTGGGTCGGACCAGCCAACGGGTGGCAGATGGACAGACGTGTCACGACTGGGAGGTCGTGGCTGGTGTGACTCACATGCCCTGAGAGCTTATTCCACAGGTGGCTGCCCTGGACAGCGAGACAGCTGTTAGTGCACTGGGCGAGCTAAGCTCGGCGTGCAGTTCCTGCAGTTGCCGATCACAGGTTGGAGCTGCAGGCTTTCTACAAGCATTTGCTAGTAATAAGTTCATTGGCTCATTGCCTCATGTGAACTTCTTTCTGATGCAAGTGCCTCCTTCCAGGGTATTTTGTTTTGACAATGTTGGTATTTGACTGCAGATATTCTAAGACATTCCAGATATCCTGCCAATATAAACATGCCCTCCAACCAATCATCTGCAAGAATATGACTCCTAGCTATATGGTGCACACTGACAGATGTGAGATGCAAACAAGTCAATAGCACATAGGCATGGGTACAAATGGTGAATGGTATGGTGAATGGTGGCTATCACATACTCACTTCAGGTTTGCAAATGGTCAGAGGTTATCATGATGCATTTGCAATGATTATCACAAACACTTCGCCATATTTATCATCATTTTTATAATGCATAGGACTGTCAGACTGTTAGATATCTGGACCATCAGATGTCTGATGCCCAGGACTGTCAGAGGTCTCTATTTCATTTCAACTGGCCAGTTATGCTGCCCTTGACAGAATTTGTCTTCAGCATTGCTTGAATGATGGATAAGTCAAGCCAAGAACAAAGTTACCTGCTTTCCTATGAATCCAAACACAAAGAATGTCCAAATTGGTTGTAGTAAGGTTATCGTCTAACAGGAAAAGCGCAAAGTCAGGTAGACACATGTGCAAGTAAAAGAGGCAGGATAATTATATTTGATACAACTCTTGCCTTTTCTGACAGTGAAGACTTTGCTGGGTTATGGCTTTTCTTCTTCAGAATGAGGCTTAGTACCCAAATGATGAGGACTGCCTCCAGGACCAGATGGTAGGTTGGAACCTGAAAGAGCAGACAAACACTGCTATTATTTTCAGTACAAGCAGCCTAGGAGCTGGCATCATTCACACCTAATATTTCTAGTTTTGCTTGCTTTTTTGGGCTCATGTTCCAAGTATATTCAGGCCAGTCTGCAAAAGACCTATCCACTATGCTGGACACCTATGCCACTGTATGCCTTTAGTGCTCTAAACTTTGTGCTCCACTAAACTCAGGCCATGGGAAACTATGTTCAATTTTCAATGTATCTTTGAGTGAAAAAATGTACAAGGTTTGCATTACATTACTGTTCTAATAGCATAGTCCTGGGACATTGACCCTCTATGCATTACTGTTCTAATAGCATAGTCCTGGGACATTGACCCCCTATGCACTGATTGGCAGCAACAATGAATCCAAATCCTGGCATGTGACTTGCTGTGCACATGTCCTGAAATTGTTGCAACAATGTCACTACTACACTAGACATGTTTGGTGTACTTTTTGCTGTCTGGCATTCTGGCAATGTAGGTTTTCAAAGAACACTTAGGTTTTCTAAAGCAAGTTCCATAAAACAAGGAGTGGTGGGCTTTTGAAAAAGAAATCCAAATTCCATTCATTGCTTAGATATTGACAAGGATGTTACATCCAGGTTTAAAGCGCTAAACGATTATCAAACCAATGTTCACGATGAAAAGAAAATGCTATAGATGTAAAATGCTTTGGTAGAACATTCTGTTAAAACCACATGACACATGCAAATGTTGCATGAGTCTAACACGGCATGGAAAACCTCATATACCTATTCAGCATCTGACCGCTTCCGAAAAAGATCCGGAGAATAACCATCGATTTCCCTCAAAGCTGTACTTACCTCAAAAAACAGCCTGACAAGTTCATATATTTCCATGGTGAGCATATCTCGATCACTTGCAGCTCAAAATTAAACAAAACTTATTCAAAGGAGCGGATATTTATATCAATATGCCGCTAAAACGAGCAGAAACTGCCACGCGGACCCCAAGCGATAACCTCGTACTAGCCAGATACTCGACTAGATAAGATCGCTTCATACTTTGTCTAACCGCGCCGTTTCCGTCGTAAATATTGTCCCCAAAAGTACTGCATCAAAGCTTTTCAACAGCGAGCGGGCGAGTGTACGATTAGCAGGCATGTTTCGGAAAGATGGACATTATGAAGCGCATTAATAGCAGTTGCCGATACAAAATTATAACTACAGACGCACACAATCAATAGCTCCTGTCGTAATGAGTTAGGCCATTATTCCGGCAGCATTGTTTCTGACACGTTCACGATCCTGCTAGCAAATGCTGCCTTTTACAATAACAAACCGCTCAGGTGGATTTAAAGCCATCAGAGCCGCAATATTGTTCTCAGGTGAACCTTGCAGGTTTTTGTTTATCTGTTTCATATTTGCAGAGTAAGTTTGTACTATCAGAATAATCAGAATAGGCATGTGATAGGCTGTCTTACGCTGTAGTTTTTTGACGCCATACCTTTAAAGTCAAGTCGGGAACCATTTTCTGGCATTCTTTTATTGGCGAATAAATGGATTCCAAATTCATATTTTGCTTAGAAATATTACAGTGCCACATTACTCCACCGCTTTCACTTAAATGGGCTATCCTCAGGATGTTTTTAATTTTATGATATTCTGGATGGAATTTTATGATATTCAGTCCGTGATGCCCTGCTTAATCACTTCTCGGAGTCTGGACTTCTTCATGCAGCCCAGCATGGGTTTCTCCCTAAGCGGTCCTGTACCACCCAGCTGTTGGAGGTCATGGAGGATTGGAGCGCCGCGGTAGAGGATGGAGAGCTGGTGGACGTGGCGTATCTAGACTTCAGCAAAACCTTTGATTCTGTTCCCCATAACCGTCTGCTCTCCAAGCTTCATGCTTACGGTGTGAGAGGTAATTTGCTACCCTGGATCAGGGCTTTTCTTACTCACCGGATGCAGAGAGTGCGGGTCCAGGGCTCAAAGCCGGACTGGACCGACGTCGTCAGCGGCATCCTGTAAGGGTCAATACCTGGACCAACGCTGTTCATAATTTTCGTGGACGATCTACCAAAACAAGTGCGAAGCGTGGTCAAGATGTTTGCGGATGACACCAAGGTCTACTGTCGTGTCCCGAGGCCCCCGACTAGCTCACCTCTACAGGCTGACCTCGACGCCCTGGCCAAGTGGTCAAAGGAGTGGCTGCTCCCCTTGAGTGCAGCAAAGTGCAAAATAATGCACATCGGGAACTGCAACCCGAGGCAGACGTACTTCTTGGACGGCGCAGAAATCGCGGTCGAGTCCACCGAGGACCTCGGGATCTTCGTGGATTACCGCCTCCAGTTCCACGTGCCGACGGCGGAAGCGATCTCCAAGGCCGACCAGATGCTGGCGGTCGTGAGGCGGTCTTTTGCCAACATCAGTGCTCGCACGTTGCCATTGCTTTTTAAGATCTTAGTACGTCCATACTTAGAGTATGACAGCATTATCTGGGGCCCGTTCGGCAAACTGGACCAGAAAGGGCTGGAACGGGTTCAGGGACGAGCTACCCGGCTTGTCTGTAAAGTGAGGCGCCAGCCATACCCTATTAGGCTCAGACTCCTTCAGTTGCCCTCGCTGTACTATCGTCGTCGTAGGGGAGACATGGTAACAGTGTACCAGCTGTTTCACGGAGGTATGTCGCTATCAGGAGAGGACTTCCTGACAAGACACAACTCGGAGGTGACGAGAGGACACCAATGGAAGCTCAGAAAACCTCGAGCTAGGACTCTCGTCCGTCGTAACTCATTCAGCACGCAGGTTGTCAACGGCTGGAACGCTCTTCCACATCCGGTAGTGTGGTCGACCTCAGTTGAACAGTTCAAGTCTAGGCTTGATACGCACTAGGCTGACATCATGTACGACGTCCCACACTGAATCTTCCCATAATTCGAGACTGTTTGGTTAGCGGACCGGGAGCCTGACGAGACCGGGACGTACAGGCCTAGTGGCCTTTTACAATTCCGGATCACCATAAGGTAAGGTAAGGTAAGGCATGATTTAGGTGCCTTGTGTCATGGTGCAGTGCGGCATGGTGCGTTGCATTCGTAGCGTTGGCGTCGCTGTAATCGCCCCTCGCCACCTTTGGTGCCGATTATTTTATTATTACGAATTTCTCATTCTGCAGATAGCAACGCTGGTTGTTTGCATTCAGCGTGTGAGGTTGCTGACAGGTGACAAGGCTTTGAGCTGTTACGGGTTCATTTCATTATAACGAGCGGCTGGTGTGGTGTTAGCGCTTCTTGATAACATTCCTGCGTTCTCTTGGTGTTTTTTTTTCGGAGGCCCCGTTGAAGATATGCTCGGGTCAGTGTAAGCCTGCAGCAGTTGACAGCATCGAAAGGTAAGTTAAGTATCAGTAGTGTCTTTGCCGTCCCACATTCTTGGCTATGATATCCTCATTGACAGGCTCTTTTACATGTCAAGTGGCGGGATGTGACGTCGTTCCATTCATTGGAAGGATTGTCCAATTAAAGCTGGTTAATTTTAAGCTCGGCATTATGCTAAGAGTTAATTTTAGTCTTGAATAACAGTCCAACCATTATCTTTTGATGTAACTTCCAGCCCACCAGGCATGCAGATTGCAGTAAAAGGCAATGATTATCCTTTCTTCCTTGACTCAGCCGCATGACCTACAGCAGTTGATGTGCCCTGAACCCCACCCCATTCCTGGATTCATTCTTCTGCTTTCACCCCACCATGCATGCAGACTGCAATAAAAGGAGATGGTTGTGCTTTCTTTTATGGTTGGGTTTTCTTCAAATTTCTTACCTGTAAAGTGAAGTTTCACTTCTTATTTCTTACCTGTGAAAAGTAACTGATTATGTCATTGTTGCATGATTATGATCAGGAAATGAAATGAAATCCCTCAAAGTATGTTAATGTTGGTCACCAAAGAACCTGGCTCAAATGCCATCCACACCACAGATTCAGCTCCTACAACTTCATCATAATTTCAGACCACTTCATTTTATCAAGCCAACCTATTACCCAATTTAGCCTTGGCCAAAGCATGTCTGGCCCTGCCAGAAAGAAATTGAGTGCTATATAGAAGTGTCAGGTAAGCTAATAGGGCTGGCTTAACCTAAGTGGTGTTCATTGTCTTTGGAATTAAATATAATGAAGGCTCTGTCAACCAGCTCCACAGCACCCATATCAAGCATGGGGGCAAAGCCAGGTTCCTGGCTTCAAAACTTAATCAAAGGACAAGACAACAACATTTAGCTGTAGTCATTGCTGAAGCCTGTAGCCTTACAGCTCAAACTTGTGGTATCAAAACCAAAGCAGGTGGCTTTGTGTTTTTTAAATGTGAAGTATAGTCAGGCCAGTGGCTTTGAATTTTGAACATAAAAACACAAGCACAGAATCATTGTCTTTGAACCAGGTAAACATGAAACCAAATGGAATCTATCAGTTCAAATTTACCACACCAAAGCCAAAGGTAAACCTAGTCAACAGTGGGAAATGTTGTTTTGTGAAACCAAAACCACTTCCTGATCTATTAGAAGTGTATGGAGTCACAAGATGCCATGCTCTTTTAGTGGGCCAGATGAAATGTTAGCATTAGAGATGCAAGTTGTATTTGGGCTATTGTCCTCTAGCTGTGGCCTCCAATAATTGGTCCTGAAAATAGCAGGCTGTTTATTGACTTTCTGTCATGTGCAGTGCAGCTTCCAACTGCTTTGTGGTGTATTGGAGCCACAGCATGACAGGATGGGCAGGATGTTTTTTTAAGTTAAGTCACAACTGTAGTGAAAACATCAGACAAAGTTGAGGTCAATGCTTGAAGATTGCACAAAACAAAGACATGAAGTGCCTAGCTGTAATTCAAATTGTTTGAAGCCTTAGCCGGCTGACAGAACTTATGCCAAGCTAAAGGCAGAGTCAAAGCCAACCATTTAAAATAACAGAAGCAATACAAGAAGCATGCCATGACAAATTTCACAAAGCTAAAGCTGGAACCAAAACCATTGAAGGAAAACTGAGGCAAAAGCAAAGTGGAAGCTGGCTTGGTCCCCATGCCTGATCTGTGTCTTGAGATTAGGTGGTGTTGGTTTCCTGGGAATTCAATGCAATGGTGGCTCCCTAGACATCACAGTACCTGTGGATTGTGATTACAGTCAACCTTTGTTAAGGTGCGCAACCTAAATGTGTAGGCAGTTTGAAGGATCTACATTTCACTCATATTTTTACATCATATTTGGTTACAATATTAAACACATTACTCTTCCTTTCTAAGTGACCAGTTCACAACCAAGGTCATTTTTCACCATGGTCAGGCATTGAAGTGCAAGTGTTGTCATGTCAGTGAGCCCCCATCAGTGTACAAATGCCATCAACTTTTTTGAACTTGAAACTATTGCATTTTGAAATGGAGATGATGCAATCTTACCTTTTGGTTGCTGTTCATGTTGTCACTCCAAACATGATGGCTTGTATTAATAGTTTTTTTTTGAAGACAGGCAGGCATGCATGGTCCTCCCAAGATAGTCATTGACCACTCTGTGGGCAATGAGTAATACTGATGTAATGGAATAAAACACTTCAAAGCAGAATTATTGTCAAATATTTCTCTAAAGGTCATTATATAATCAGTTTTATTACACAACTGCCTTTGTGATGTATTTCACCTCTCACAGGTTGTTGACTTGTACCACTTATAGCAACCTGCATTTGGAGATTGTGGATGTTGTGTATCACAGGTAAGGCAGCGCAATTCTCTGGTTTTGTGGCAGTTGTCCTATGCATACAGCCTCGTGACACAAGGATGGCTGAAGAAACTGAAAACCTCCCACCCACCCCCTCAGAAACTGGTGTCAGATGCTCAGTATGTCCCAGAGTTGGAGTACATGCAACTTCTGGTTGCACTCTTGTAGTTTATCGCTGCATGTGTTTACTTAGATACTGTGCAAATGGATAAGGATGACTGCTGTACCTCAAACTCAATGTGTTCCTGGTACTTGCATGTGCACAGTTCCCACTGTTGGCTCTTGTTGGCTCCTGGCTTCACTCGCCCATTCGTGGAGGCAAGACTTTGGATCCTGGCTCCTGCTGGTTCTTTCATGGCAAGAGCTCCTGGCTCATGGAACCCATCAGTCTTCTTGTAGACACTGGACCTGGGTTCCAGGTTTTCACCAGTTCTTTTGCAAATGCCAGATACATTGCTCCCTGTTTCCATTGGTGTGTTTTGGGCACCTGATATTACCAGCAAGCACATCATGCTATTTTTGTGTGGAAGTAACCAAGTGTCACTCTGCACCTTAAAAAAGAGGACATATTATGTTTGCAGCACAACTGGTAAGTAAGCTGCAGTCAGCAAAATTTAGCAGACAATAATATCCCCAGCTTTAGTAAGTATAACTTTTTTGCCACTCATAAGCCTGGCATGTCTGGCTATGCACATTGAAGTGACAGCGACTTCTGAGGTGTTGGGCCGTCCTGGTCGGGCTATTCACCGTGGCGTACCTTTTTGTGGAGCATCGCAGTGGTATGTGAGCTCGGAGTCCGACTAGGCTAGTGTGTTCGGCTGCAGGCGATGAGCGTTTTGTGGGTGGGGCTGCGTTTTGTGTGTGAATCGGGCTCAAGCTCCGGCTTGGCATCCAATCAGCGACGGCCTCGCACTGGAACTCAGTGCATGGGTGGTACACTTGGGACACTCACCTGTTGATAACCGCGTGCTCGTTGTGTGTCTTTGGTTCCAAGAATTGTTTCTGCTCTTGCTGGTCCATCAAGCAAGCATGGCGATCCTCAAGCGTTCTGTAAAAGTGCAACGAAGCGGGTTATCTAGTCATTGAAACTATATGTATCATGGTATGACGAATAATTGATGTTTTGCAAGCAAAAGGCGAGCCTTTTTTCAACCTGGGTCGTATTCTGAAATAAGGACGTGAACGTACTTCAATACAGAAAGTGAGGTAGGAGTAAGAGGCACTGAACTGCCTGCCGACGTGTGAGATCTGAGGTAAAGGGAAGCAATACCAGACGCATAACTAGTTTTCAAGTAAACTGTGATGCTGAAGATGACCAACACTTCAACGCCCGAAAACCGTCCCGAGCATCTTCTCGCCATCGATAGCAGTTGACACACGGACACGCGTACCGCTTCCCAGCCAGCCGGCGCCATCGAGCGGGCATGCTCCGAAGAGCATGATGCCGGCCGGCTGCCGGGCGGCGCGTGAGCGGCGGCGCGTCTGACCGAGCCCGCGCGCCTCTGCCCGCAGACTGCAGCCAGCCGGCCGGCCGGCATGATCACGCTCAGCAAGAAGCTGCTGCAGAAGCGCGGCGAGACGGCCGCCGGCGGTCCGGTGGCCGCCGGCGCCGAGCCGCGCCGCCGCACCGCTATGCGGGACCGCCTGCTCACCAAGGAGGTGCAGGAGCTGCACGAGAACCTGCCGGCCACATGCAGCGTCGAGTTCCCACGGCCCGACGCGCTGCACGAGTTCGTGCTGACCGTGCGGCCCGACGAGGGCTATTGGCGCCGCGGCGCCTTCTCGTTCGGCATCAGCGTGGGCGAGGAGTACAACATGTCGCCGCCGGAGGTGCGCTGCCACACGCGGCTCTGGCACCCGAACATCGCCGAGGACGGCGCCGTCTGCCTGAGCCTGCTGCGCCAGAACTCTTACGACGGCATGGGCTGGGCACCGACGCGCCGCCTCAAAGACGTGGTGTGGGGCCTCAACTCCCTGTTCACCGACCTGCTCAACTTCGACGATCCGCTTAACACGGAGGCTGCCGAACACTACGCGCTCGACCGCGACGGCTTCGAGCGCAAGGTGTCCGAGTACGTGCGCCTGTACGCGGCGCGGTGAGGGGCGAGCGGGCGGCGCTGTGTCGGACCGGACCGCACGTCCCTGCCGGGCGGCGGACGCCCCCGGACCGGTGACCAGGCGCCGGCGGTGCCACGGGGTCACGCCACCCCCCGCCGGCGTGACCCCGCGAGGAGTAGCGAGATGGCGGTGAAGATCCAGCGGGGGTGATGGCATGATGCTCCGGAGACTGGTGGCGTCTGGCACAGTGCTTATGTGACCCGCCGAGGATGATATTGCGCGGCTCTCAGAGGACGAGAGATGAGTCACGAGGGCGCTTTTGCAATAACTGGACCGGTGAAGGAGCGGCGGGGCGATGCCGCGGTGGGCTCTGCGACGATAGGCGCTGGTGGAGGAGCGTTTTAATGAGCGTGACCGTCCGGGGATAGCTGACTAGGGAACGTCGGAGGTATGTTGTGCTGATTGCTTCACTCTGAGAGGAGAAATAGCTAGGGGTCGGTGGATGATGCCGGCAGGTCATTGACGTCTCCATCCGTGGGTGAGAGGCTATGCGTCAGTGGATGTGGGTGACGTCATATAATGACTCGCCGAGGATGATTGACGGGACGTTTGAGCAGGCTTCGAACGATGATCGCATGCGGATGAGTGACCTGACCTCCAGCACGGTAACGGCGAGGTGCCGGCCGGCTGAGGGCGACACGATAGCATGATATTCGGGGTGTTCTCAGATGTGTGTCTCGCGTCGCCCGTCCAGAGCGGCGCCGCGCACCGCCCCAGAGCGGCGCGACTGCGGCGCTCCAGCCATGCGCTGATCCTGTGTTTCCTTCGCGTTTGCTCTGATTGCCTTCCATTGTGCGGCGGCTGACTGCGGCTGCCCCGTGCCGTTTGGTAACTAATCGCCGCCGTGTTAACCGAGGCATGCCTGTCCTAGTCGCTCTCCGGTCATCTGATTTGATGTGCTGACAACTAATATAAGCATTGCATTGTAAACCCCTGTGTGGAGGGCGTTTTTGTGCCATCGCACGGGCACGTGCTGGACTAAATTAGAGTCCCGTGCCGCTGATGCAGCCTGGCCTTTATTTTGTTTACTTGAAATCTTTATTTAGTTCATTTAAGTTTATATATGTAGTGGCATTAACTGATGCGCGTTAAATTGAAATCTCGTCGGAAGGCAGGCAGGCAGATGTTTTCAGACTGCCTAATTCTGTATGGATTGGGAAGTGTTCTCAGATTCCGAGAGCCACCAAATTGTATTGCAAGTTAATAAGCCAAATAGTAAGCACAAAAGGGACGTTTATGCTTTGGAACCTTAATTGATCATGAGTTGAAGTCACTCGCGAAATTGACCACCCCAGCTGCCTACTGGTGGAGCATGACAATAATTTCACTTTGTCATTTGTGAATTGGCCTGAATCATCGAACCATCGGTAATACCTCATGGATCGGTTGAGTAAGACGCTTTCGCGGATCTGTGCTTCTTACGCCGGTAGTTAATGGTTTTCTTCTTGTAATAACATATTTGCTTGATTATCAAGCTGAACATGATAGATTAGCCCTCACTTTCCCTGTAGGCTAGACTAAATCTGCGAAACAAGAAATAAGTGTTTTCGGCTCTTCTTTTTCCGGCATTAAGAGTTCAGACTGATGCTGACAATGTCACGCTTCAGACTGTTCTTAATGTCACGAGTCGCTCGTGGCCACTCACGACAGTCAGCACAACTTGGAACGTGGGGTTTCAACAATAAACCGATGTTCTGCCCGATAACGTCACCGAAGCAGTACCTACTATTATGCTGATATCCGGTTACTAGCAGCATAAAACACTGAACAAATTATGTATTAGCATGTTGAAACCTCAAGCTGCTGTTTGTGTAGCACCTTGCTGATTCAGCGGAAGCGGTGGCGCCATGTTATCCTTTAGGGATACGGCGTACCAAAGAAATCTTGTATTTTTCGTAGAACGAGCAGTAAATCATGGTTTCTAAAACTAAGTTTTTAAACCGAGCTCCCGTATCCAATTACCTGAAATACCTGAAATAGAGCCACTGCGCGCTTCGGCCATCGTTTGCTTCGTTTTTCGATCCCGGTGCCAGAGATCAAAGTGTTGTCGAACGAAGCTCCACTTTTGGGAACTTTGGATAGATAGATAGAATTTGGTAAGATTCGCGTTCGGAAATGATAAAATCTACTTGAAAAGCTTTGATTCGAGAGCATAATTTAAAACGGAGCAATTTTCTCGTGTGTTCAGCACCGGGTTCAGATCAGGCATCAGGGTCACACAGAAGTAGCAGGGTTAGGTCACGACGTAACACGGAGGAAGCGATTTATTGGAACGGAGGAGGTGCAGAAGCTATACGTTGACAGTAGGTTAGGATGTCCTTTCCAACAGCCCCTTCAGGAAATTTATGGTACCATTCGGCTGTTTGTGAAAACATGATGCTTTCAGCTGGCCTGGTCATTCCGCAAGCGTCGTTTCCTAAGCTACATCGTTGTTTCCAGGTGTCTGTGAGTTCCAGTACAATGACTTCCCCGTCCGGCTCGATCGTCTTCGCTGGCGCCCTCTGGCGGGGTGGCTGTGCTGCCATCACGCGGCGGTTGGTATCAACAAGCGCGCCGCTGCAGCGCCGCTTCCCACGCGCCAAGCTGCCGCCGAACAGGGATCTGTTGCCGCGCTCCGAGCGCATGGCGGTGGCCGTCACAGACAAGCCGGACAGCTCACGCGGCGTGCCGCGGCCCGACGGCGGCATCCAGTACCACGGCTTCATTTACTACCCGCGGTCAGTGGCAGCGCGACCCGGCGGGTTCCTGCCGACTCGATGGTGCACCGCCCCTCCATCATACCGCCTGCCCTTGCCGCTGACGCTCGGCAGACTGTGGAGCCGATGCACCCTGCGTCTCAGCGTTGTGAACCAGTCACCTGTGGTGGTTGAACGCGCCGGTGTCACCCTGGGCCGGTTGGATAAGGCGGGAGGGGGGGGGGGGGGGATGGGACAGCTGACGCGCGCCTGCCATCGTTCTGCCAGTGTAACGACGTTTTTTTTCAAACTCGGAAGAGGATTGGTTCATGCTGATATAAATTATTAGAACTGTCCCAATGTTACATCAAATCCAATGACTCCACGGATTTCGCCCACTTCGCTTATAAGGTGTTGTGGAGGGGGGGGGGGGGGGGAGGGGAACGGAAAGGGACCGACGGCGGCAAAGTGAAGTGTTAGGGGAAAGGCTGGCACCCCTCCAATACGACACTTCAATCCGGCGCCATTGCCTCATAGCGGACCGATGGCTGGAGCGGGCTTGTGCCGGAGACGAATGGAGCGTCTCGTCGCCACGTGGGCCCGCGGCGCCAGTGCCTCATAGCGGACCGATGGCTGGAGCGGGCGTGTGCCGGAGTCGAGTGGAGCCTCCCGTTCCCACGTGGGCCGGCCAGCTCTGTGCGCTGCACTCTGACCGGACAGACGGACTGCCCGTCCGATCTGCTGCCGGTTGCCAGCAGACGTAAAGACCCGGTGCACGAAGCGGACATTTCGTAAACACAAGGAAAAAGAGAAGAAAGTGGTGAAACTTCCTGGAAACGTTTAGCCTTTCAGAATCCTGTGTGCCCTGCGTAACAACTATAATTGAGTGGGTGGGGTCGCGCTTGAGAAGCGTGGAAAGCTTGAACCACACTCACTGGCGGTTTGCACTGCTCGAGTCCTCGCACGGAGAAACGCCGGCTATCACGAGCCGGCCAGCATCGCCCCGCCCCGGCCGTCGTGTCCCGGGCTCAGCGTTGATCGCGGCTGCCCTCGGTGCTGACCCGGCTCTGATGGCGGGCCCGGCCGTCGCCAGGTTTCCGGACCGGCCCGACCCGCCGGTGACGCCAGCCAAGCTGCATCGGATCCAGCTGATAGCTCCGCTCCAGGGCCAGCCCTACTGGATCAAGGACACCTGCCGCCAACTCGGCCTGCACGAGGGGGTGAGAGCTCGGTGCTGGCGGCTGAGGAGCGGCGCCACGAGGGGGTGAGAGCTCGGTGCTGATGGCTGAGGGTGGTGCCACGAGGCGGTGAGAGCTCGGTGCTGATGGCTGAGGAGCGGTGTCACGAGGGGTTAAGGGCCCGGTGCTGGCGGCTGAGGGCGGTGCCACGAGGGGGTGAGAGCCCGGTGCTGGCGGCTGAGCAGTGGTGCTGATTGACCCCGCCAGCAGATTTGATCGGCCATGGTGTATGGCTTGTGGCTACGTAGGTACTTGGCTGTTCCCAGGACTTCATATCGTATGCCGGATTTCCAGAAATGTGATAAAACATTCTTCCAGCTTATGGGATCAAGGTAGATTTCACGTGAATTACGTACTTTGTTACGCAAAATTTTGATGCCGCATTTTACCTGCCTCCCTTAAAGTAATATGAAATGGACGTATTTTTATCGCAAACGGTTTTCGATTGTACTTTAGATGCTGCATAAATCTGCACTGCCTTCGCTCAGCCCGTGATGCAGCCGTTGAAACTAGATGAATGCATTTTGTAAAGAACTTTTGGTGGACCATTAATCTTTCTTTTCCATCGTGGCAGTCGTCTAGCATGAACTGATCACGTTGTTAAGTCTTTTTAATGAGCCTAGTTCCCATTCAATCACGAGAACATTCAGAGAACTTTGTTCTTAGAATCGTTTCGGAAGTTGGGCCAATTCTGCGATAAAATCTGCATTCATTTCTCTCCGAGCTCTGTCGGAAATGGGATCTGGTCGTCCGAATTGAGGCACATTTCGCGGCCGGCGGAAGCTGCCGGCAGCTGGGATCGCCGGCATGTGCCGCCGCCCGCGCGGGACGCTGGCCGGTCCCGTGTCACCTGGCCACGTGCTCGTGTGGCTGGTCTAGCCGAGACGCCTCGACACACGGACAGTGTTCCGGTGCCGCGATACACACGTCTGGCACACGTCTGGCACGCGGGACAGTGCGCCAGTGACGCAGGAGGCGTCAGGACAGACTCGATGACGAATTTTGGGTCCACTATTGCTGATGAATGAAGGGAGGGGGAGGAGGCATCCAACACCAGACACTCTTCCGGGGTTGTTGCCGGATGCGCCAACCCTGAACACTCAGCTGCGCTGTTGTCACGCACACTGACTGCGTGTGACGGCCGCCCGCCAGCGTTCAACGCGCACCGTCGGCGCCGTCAACGTCGTCAAGAACATCCCGGAGGTGAACGCCATGCTTTACACCGTGAAGCACGTGATCCGCGTGGACCCAATCACCTTCCCGGACGGCCAGCCGGCGAACGACGACCTGGACGGCTGGCAGCTGCTGGAGGTGAGGGCTGACAGCTGTTGGCCATGGAGCCGGCAGCTACTGACGTTGATGATGACTGCTGGTGCCTGTTGGATTTGAGGGTCGGCAGCTGCTGGAAATGGGGACATGGCAACTGTTGGAAGCGAGGATGGACAGCTTCTAGAGGTAGGGATCGGCGGGTGCTGGAAACGGGGACTGGCAACTGTTGGAAGCGAGGACGGACAGCTTCCAGAGGTAGGAATCGGCAGCTGCGGGAGGTGAGGACCGATACCGCGGGCGGCGAAGGCCAGCTGCTGCTACAGATGAGGACTGGCAGCCGCTGAAGGTAATGGCTGCAGCCGCCGCCCCGCGCAATGATTAACGACGGGAGCGGCGGTCTGCTTTAATTGATGGCAGCTCCATTTGATTTAGACTGCGGAGAGACGGCGCAGGTGCGGGCCTCGCCGCCGGCCGGGGCCTCACTCGCGGCAGACTGCGGCGCTCGTGAGACGTACCTCGGTCAGGGGAGCTGGCAGACGGCGGGACATGACGAGGTCAGCGACAGTCGACAGCCGGAGGGTCCATCCGTTGAAGCGTCTGTGTAACCATTACCGGAACAAGGTGTTGAACATTTTCAAAATTAAGCATCGGGGTAGCGAGACGTCTGATGCGCTAGTCGTCTTCGGCAGGCCGAGCTTCGTCTGTGGGTGTTTTTGATTGCCGTGTGTTACTCCATGAATTGTTGGAC